TTGTCTCCACCAGTACCTTCGTTCCATGGTCGGTGGAATATGAACTCCTCCCTCCCCGAGCTCCTCCCTCCCCGTGCCTTTTGTTCAGGCCTGGGCGGGTCTAGGACGTGGCTTTTACAAACTTGCACATATATATTTGCATATATCTATGTATATTCATGTGCATATACACTGAATATCTCTATCTATATGTATATATATGTGTATATACATATACATATGTGTATATGTACATATGTGTACATATATGTATATACATATATGTGTGTATATACACACATATATATACATATATATATGTATATTTAGTACATCTACAGAGTTGTGTGACCATTGTCATAGTCTAATTTTAGGACATTTGTTTCATCCCCAAAAGCAACCTCACGCCCTTCAGCATCCCCCCTATGACAGTCAGTTTTCTCTGCCGACTTGACTGGCCAAATTCAACATTTTTTTTTTTTCTGGGTGTTTTTTTCTGGGTGTGAGGGTTGTCCCAGGTGGAATTAGCTTCTGTTAAGAGGGTAGATCTCTGGTTAAATGTTCTTACCACAAAACAAAAACAAAACTGTAATCAAAAACAAAAGGGCACAAGGAAACTTTTGGGGAAGGTGAGGGATATGTTTTTCACCTTGGTTGTGGTGCTGGTAACACAAGCGTATACGTATCTCTAAGCTCACTGAATTGTGTAACTTAATCCCGTGCAGTTTTTTTTGTAGACCAATTGTACCACTTATGAAGTGGGGGGCCGGGGGAAGGTGTGGCATGTTTCTCTGATAGGATGAATGTGAAGAGTTAAAAAGGAAACTCGCCGGATGTACCTGCCACGATGTAACAGTTCAGCATGTAAACTATTCCCGGAATAGATTTCCAGAAGAGGACTTTGACCAGCTCCTTTTACCGATGAGGAAGCCCAGACTCAGAGAGAAGTAACCAGCTCCGGATCTTTCAGCAGGCTGGTGGTGCTGGACTCCAGACATACTGGCTCCTGGTCCTAATGCTCTCCCTACCACATTGCTTCTGGAAGCAGCTTCTGTCTAGCCAAGGAAGTTTTATTTCGATTTGGGAAGATGTTCCCTGAAATGGAGAGAAAAGGCAGCCTGCCTTCATGCTGGGATGTAATGGGGAAATTAGACCAGTGGGTTACTGATCCGTTTTCATTGGAAGCTAATTACGTCGTATAGGATAGGAAGAGTGGTAACCAGCTCGTTGATGTCTCTGATGGACAGATGGAGGCTTTGCACTTAGATGGTTATGAGCAGGTCAGGTGTGTGGACTCCAGTTGGCCAGGAGAACACCTCATGCGATTTAATAAAGAGACCATTTCTCTCTAGAATCACACTCTTAATAACTGCACAGATATTCTGGCTATGTGTCTACAGCCCTGAGCTTCTTCCTTATGGGTTTGCCACACAAAATAAACTCCATGCTTGCAGGAAGAGACTTTTGGGTGGAATTTATTTATTAAATCGACAAATCTGCATTGCACGTCTACTGTGTATTATGCATAAGCCTAAAAGCCAGTAATATGCACTGGGTGGAACCAACATAATCCCTGTCTGCATAGGTTCACAAAACATTCAGCTGCAAATACAGACAATCTTGAAATGGTGGCTTCAACAGATCGGGTCTTATTTTTATCATCTGAGAGTATTCTGGAGGTAGGCAGTTCAAGGATGGGGCAGCCATTCAACAATGCTATCGGAGACTGTGACTCTGTATCTTCTTGGTTTTGCCACCTGCAAGGAGGTTTATCCCCATGGCTGCAAGATGGCTGCTGTAGTTCCAGATATCACATCTGTATTCCAAGAGGACCAAAAGCCTTCTCCTCCCAAGGTCTTTTTTTTTTTTTTTTCTTACCTTGGGGCTCACCTTCCTAACAGACTCTACTTCTACCTCGTCAGTCAGAATTTTGTCACGTGGCCACCACTGGCTGGAATGTGAAGGGGGAGTTGGATCAGGGTGGTGTTGAATGAGCTATCCTGTAGTATCTACCGTACTGCCCAAGTGTCCAAAGGAGCAGGCAGACAGGTAGCAAATGACTTCATCGTTAGTCATTGATTACTACTCGAGAGTCTCAGTGCATGTCTCAGGTTGGGTTTCTTTTGAGGCAGACCCTGAAATAGGGATTTGAGGGCAAGTAATTTTATTTTGGGGGGTGATGCTAGGACACAGTGGTACAAGTGGGGAGGAGGGTGGGGCTCACCTGCCCTGGGAACCTCACAGCTTTCTCCTCCTCTGAGGCTGAGAGAGCTGGCTGTCCTGGGGGCCTTCACCTGCCCGCAATTCCAGCCCTTCACACCCGGGGAGAAAAGTCCATACGTGGGGAGTTGCTGGGTGTGTATGGCAGGATGCTGTAGGCATGAACTAGGAACCCGAGTGCAGGACAGGATATGGCGGGACATTCATCACACCTGGACTGGCATATCGTAAGAGCCTTTAACCCAAGCTGGGGTGTCAGCTTCTCCCCAGAGAAGTAATTTTCGAGACCAAGCAAGAAAAAAAAAAAAAAA